CGCTATATAAGTGTAAGCAATTATTATTATTATTCTGCCATCAGGACTCTTGTGACTTACTGGGCACTTTCCTGCAAAGCAAGCCTCCAATCAACACTGATCTTCCAGTAGGGAGGTGGTACTTCCTGTGACGAGTTGAAAGACAATTGGCTGGGTGGTGGGTAAGGGGTGGAGCAAGCTTAACCATACTTCCTCCTCCTCCTCCTCCGCCATGTGTGGTCTCTGGGTCCTTAGCTGCGCCTGAGACCCAGGAAGACCCTCAACTAGCTTTTCCAAAAATGAGAGGGGGTATATACCCAAATACTCCCTATCTTGGGCAGGGAGAGAACCTCCATGTTGACTGTAGGAGTCTTCCTTTCTTAGTGCGCCTCAAAGGTAGCACGTCGTAGCCCTGAAGGGATATGAGGGAGACTGTTCCCTGTTCCGGGAGAACGCCCAGTGCGGTCGGGTCTCGCCTCCGCGGGCGGCCCGCCGACATCTCCCCGAGATCCCTGTGCTGTTAGTGAATTCGGAGGTACGCTTTGCAATGGGCGAAAATCTATTTGAGTTGCTGGGGGGGGACGTGAGGAGAGGGAGACGCATTGCTGGGATGGAATCTAATTTTTTCCCAGCATGACGTGGGGGGTGTTAATAGAAAAGTTACTAGAGTGCCCCCCAAAAATGGCAGCCAGAATGCAAATCCATGGAATTCTGTTGGGCTGGAACGGAGCTGATTTCCCTGTCCGCGTTCCTGACTTCTGTAGTCTCGTCCTTTCGTGGCGAGAACCTGTACGCATATGAGGATGGATCCCATCCCGCTGTTCATGTCCGTTTGTTTGTTTGTTTTGTGCCTTCCAGGAAATAACGCTTGGCTGGGAATCTCAAGGAGAGGAGGGGGAGCAGGGGGGGAGGGGTCGTGAGTTCCGCAAGGACCACAAAGAAGTGGGGGGGGGAAGAAATGGAAAGGAAGAGGAATTCTTCCGGCTCAGGACTTGCGCTATGACCCGGGAGCTCTGGGGATCGATGGGACAACCCGCCTCCCCCCCCCCCTCCCCCGAGCTCTACACGGAGGTCATCAGCTCCCCCGATCCCACTGGAGTTCGGGATGGGGATGGGGGGGGGTGATCAGATGGACTGATGGGATTCACGGAGGACCGGAAGGCTAAGCAAGGAGTGTGAGTGTTTGTGTGCGTGTGTGTGTTTCCTTGATTTCAAGTTTAACAGGAGCAGCAGTGGGCCTACATGGGGATCAACGCTCACCCCTGACTCGGTGGGACAAGCAGGGGGCTGTCTGTTGCCTCGCCATCGGAGGAGGAGGGGGGGGGGGGGAGAGATGTGCCGAGATGGTCTTGTTTGTGTGCGTGTGTCCGTGCTCGTCCGAGTTCCCTGCACAGAGCCCGGATCTGTCCCAAAGAGCATCTCCGTGATTAATCGGACTTCAGGATGGAGGGAGAGAGAGAGAGGCGGCCGCCTTACTATTTAACCTGGGCTGGTGACTGCATTGCATGGCCTTAAAAAAAAACCACTCGGGAAGCTGAGCGAGCCTCTTCAGCTGTGCAGGCTGAGACCGTCGCTCTTTTTATAAAGCTGTTGTCCTTGACAGCATGCTCCATTGGGTTTATTTATTGTTTTTAGCCTGGCATTGGACTCTCCCTATGTTCTGTACCCCTCTGGACAGCGGAGACGTTGTCACACTCAAAAGAGCATGAGGTAGAGACGCCGTTCCGGGTGTTTGACCAGGGCAGTTGGCTCTCACCTCTGCGGGCGGCGGCCTCGACGACATCTCCCCGAAATCCCTGTGATGTTTGTGAATTCAGGGTTACGCTTTGCAAAGGGCGAAAATCTGAGTTGTTGTTTTTTTTTCCCAACTGGGGAGCTTTCCCTTTAGAAAAGTCCCCATTCTTGTGGGGGAGGGGGCGGGGATGTGAGGAGAGGGAGATGCGTTGCCGGGATGGAATCGGGTCTCTCCCAGCGTGATGTGGGGACGTCAGCAGAAGGGTAACTAGAGTGCCCCCAGAAGTGCAAGCCAGCCAGAGTGCCCAGGTATGGAATTTCATCGGCTGGATCGGAGATGATTTCCCTGTGCGCATTCCCGACTGCGTGAGAACAGACACTCCCTTCCATTTAAGTTTCAAAGAAGCAGCCAAAGTGCGTCACTGATCCCTCCCCTGTGCCCTTGGAGCCAAGCCAGTCTGGTTATTCCGTTCTGGAGCTGTACCCCTGAAACCTATCCCCCCCACCACCCACCTTGGAGAGCCACGCTGATCCAGTTTGAGGAGATCACCTCCGTTCGGTGACCCGCTTGGCTGCGGTCTCCGGTCTCCGGTCGCTTCAGGGAGAGCCGAGGCGTGTTCCCCGGTCCGATCTCCTGTGGCCCGGTGTCGTCCGGGCCGGTTTGTCCTTGCTCGCGGTGTCGAGGCCCCCCGATTGCGAGAGGACGCAACCACCAAAGACGCGCTACCAAATTCCCTCATTTCCTGCATTCCTCACCTCCTGCATAGGGCCAGTGTCTCGTCTCCTCTCTCCTCTCACCCCTGTGGGAAAGAGCTCTGGGATCTTCGGAGCACATTCCCCTTCTTCCCTGGTTTCAAGTTCGGATGGTTGCCCCCCCCCGATCCGAGCGCAGTTTCGGCGTGGAGAGCCGCGGTACCTTTGAGTTGTTTTTTCGAGGGCCCTGTTCTGCGTCCGGGGTGCGATTTCCCCCCCAAAGGGGCTCTTTTATTCCCGTCGTCACGAAAGGATCGATCACCCAGGGAAGGGAGGGCATCGGAACAGAGGATCCCCATGTCGGGGGGCTCCCATCTGCTGTCCTTCCCGCCCCGGAACGTCATGGGTTGCAGCTCGAGCGAAGCAGAGCCCGTGAGCCGAGGTCTGGGCGTCTCTCCCAGATCACGTCACCCCCGCATGACGAAATCGGAGCCGGGGGGCGACTCCCAGCCGGGACAGGAATCCCCCAACCCCTCCCCCCCCTGCCAGTGCCACTCGCTGGCTCATGTGTCCGGCCTCCTGTCCCGGCTGAGACGTGGACCCAACCAAAACTCGAGGTGCGTCCAGCCCCCCTGTACGCTTCGTCTCCGGCAATCCTGATTCAAATGCCGGAGACGTCTCCCAGCAGAACCAGATAGAGGGGATGGATGGGGAGATCGGGTAAATGGCTGTTCCTGTTCTGGGGGGCTGCCCCCTGCTGCCGGAACAGGGGTACTGCATTGCCTTGGCCATCCTGCCGCCTTGGACAAAGTCACATTGGGGGGAATCCCAGCCAACAGCCGACTGCTGTGAACGAGGGGCGTGGGCCCCTCCAGTCCGATCCTGTCCCGTGGACATTTCCCACAAGGCCGCAAGGTGGGCGGCGTGGGTGTGCACCACAAATGATGGTCCAGCTGTCATATCTGGGGGGGGGGCAAAGAACTCGGGATTGGGGTTCCCTGCTCTTGAGAAGGTTTCCCCCCCCCGAACGTGCCCGGTTCTCCGACCCTCCCCTCTCTGTGTTTCTGTGCTGGACTTCCTCGGTTCGATTGAATACGAGGAGGTGGAGGTTGTTGTTGTGGTGGTGGGGGGCACCCTAATAGACGCAAATGGGGGGGGTGGGGAACTAGAGTAAGTGCACTGTCCGTTGTGTTCAAGAAGTTGTGCGATTGCTAGGTCAGTGACTGTGCGTCCGGGAACTGGATTCCCAGTGCTGACTGTCCTCAGACACTCACACCTCCTAGTACACCTGCACAGCAC